GTTGTTAATTACAAGGTTGAGCACGCGATCTTTATCTTCTTAGTGCATGCCAAAAATTTCTGTAAAAAAAGAAAAAAAGAATTGTAAATTATTATCAAATGAAAGATTTATCATAAGGAATGTAAAGTTATCAAGAAATGGTGAGTTGTAGTACTTAACTGTGTTAACCTAATGAAACGTACCTACCTAATCATATAAATAACAAGCTGTCTACCATTACATGGCATCAGGCATGTAGCCAGAATTTGATGTTTGCGGGGGGGGGGGGGGGGGGGGGGGGGGGGGGGGCACATACATGTAATCGATTGAAGTAAAAAAAAAAAAGGGGTCTAAAAAAGTTCAACCGATCTTGAAAATTTAGGGGGGGGCATGTGCCTGAATGGCATAGATGTAAAATTCCATCAAAACTAGATGAAATATATGAGATTGAAGGGTTAAAGAGCATAAAGGGAAAAGAGTTATATCAACAGCCACTCAACTGTTGTGCAAAGGCTAGTTATTCTGTTTTCTCTCACCATTTACTGGCATTGGTCTCTCAAGGGACGTACAAATCATGGTCACAAATCTACAGAATTTACATTTGTTTGATAGTTCATTATTGAAGGGGAAAATATTATCGAAAGATCATAATGGTGAGAGCAACCAGTGGCATGATTGGCCCGCCATAGTTAAGTCCAACTTAAAGTTGATCTTAGTCTTTGTGAAACACTCCCCAGGACTTGAATCAGCTTACGGACCCAATGTGCATGACCTTGCCTTAATGATGTGTGTGCTTTTGTATAACTTAGTAGAGGTCTTTCAGTTCAAAGGATTTCATTACTACAAAACTGTTTGGAATATATTGCTAACCACAAGAAGAACATTTTTGTCAACAATCAATTTTTTGCAAGTTCTTTGAATGCTTTTGCTGTTTTATTTCCTTGATGTTATTAGTCTTGAAGAAAATGTATGCAAGATATTTCTACCTAAGACGAGGTCACACACTACTATACAGATATTTATATATTTCATATATTCAATAACAGTGTATGGGAAAGTATGCCTTGGAATTTGATGTGTGTATTAATTATATATAGCTTCAATGGAAAACTGTTGACTACTTGATTCTTACATTCCCATAGGCTTAATACGGGAACCACCAGGTTCCAGAATGGAATGGGTTAAGTAGAAATGTAATCAAGAATATAATTGAAGAGGAAGGAAATGACTGGTGAACTAACTGGGTATGTTTTGTAAATTTCAAGCATAAATCCTATACTTTGCTGATTTATATACATGTATTACATATACTGCAATATAAGAAGACTTTACTAGGCAAAACGTCTTAAAACTTGTCAAGATATACCAAATAGACCCTATTTATAAGCGATAGAATTGAATTATTCTACGTCATGTGAAAACATCAAATATTTGGATTCTCTCCATGAAGATGGCATAGTTAGCAAAAGGCAGAAAGTACTTAATTAAACTATGAAAATTAAAGAGTTGATCTATGCAAATAATAGCCACATAGTGTTTTTAATCTTTAATTATTGCAATAATTCCATTATATTTTACCATGTAAATGTAAATGTAATGGTAATTTACCATGTGCCTATAATGTATTGTGATAATTGACCATGTAAATGGTATTTTTTATATTTTTTAAAAACATTGGACAATATACATGTAGTACATAAAAGCTATGTATTAAACAATAATTATCTATGAAGATGTAATATACATTACATGCAGTTCATTTTGTTTTGTCCTTTATTTGAGTTGATATACATGTTAAGCAGTATAATGGTCAGATTTTATTTAAATGGTTCATTGTTTCTTATTCCGAATGCCAAATTAGTCAATGAGAGAGAAAGACAGTAATATGTTATACCTACAGATGAATTTTACCTGCAAAAGAGAACAATTAAGGTACGGTTTTACATTGTGATAAGAAAAGCAAACAGTTGCTACTGTCGGTTTTACTTCTGTTTTTTTAACAAGCATGTTAAATGGCCTACTGGTGTGAATTTGGCATTTGAAAAAAATAGGCACGGTAATTGATAGAGATGACAAAGGGAGAGAAAGGGAAGAAAGTGAGAGAAAAGATAAGAAAGGGAGAGGGAAGGGAGACAGGTATGAGCAGAGAGAGAGAGAGAGAGAGAGAGAGAAATGCGGCAATGAGATTTGGCGCTTCAAGCTTTGGAATTCAGACACGAGATGGCGCTCTTTACTATGCCAACTCTAAAGCAGATGACATTATTTATCCAATCAGCGTCAACTAAACCTTCAATTACATGAGTCATCACGTGACCCGCTCTAAACTTGGGACCAATCACAAATGTTGGATATTTCGAAAAGGGGTGTGGCAATGGAATTATGCGTTTAGCTCATCTATGGTCTGAAGGAAGTGGGCTATTTTCGCCGAAAGTTGTATCACATAGAGAATATGACACTCCCAGGAAATGTGATTTGAACTTGGCACTCCTTGGCACTGATTCTTGAATAGCGTATGCGTACCCTAAATAATACTGAGTGGGGGGGGGGGGGGGGGGCAGGGGCGGATCCAGCCGGCGGCAAGAGGGGGGGGGGGGGGGCCCACATCTTGAGAAAATATTAATGGGCGAATCAGCCAGCCGGCGAACGGCGAATGAGCGAAGGGGGGGGGGGTGGATAAGAGCACATATTTTTTTTTTTTTTTGGGGGGGGGGTCCAGTTTTTGGGGAACATTTTTGCGCCTACTCAGCCGGCCGGTGAATATTAAAGCGGGAGGGGGGGGGGGGGGGATGCTGGAGAGGAGGACCACTCATTTTTTTTCGGGGGGGGGGGTGAAGCTCCGTTTTAGCACGACTTTCTTTTTAACTCTCACTTTCACCTACCCCAGATAACCCTAAGTTTTTTGTTGCTGCTTAATATGTAGTTGATAATGCATGATTAAAATAAATAGAGAGAGAGAGAGAGAGAGAGAACCACCATCATTATGCAATGGTTCAGGGTTTGTGTAATGTACATTTGAAACCATTTCTTAGCGTCTCAACCCTAAAAAAAGTAGCGAAACTATTTTTGAGGAAGAGCTGAATAAAGAATAATAACTTTATATTGGCTCATACAACTACTGAAACGGGCTAAAGATAATGTGGTATCGGCACAGTTAGATCGGGTATTTGTTTAGAGGTATTCCAAAATTACATTCTGATAATCAACATTTTGTTCTGTTATCATATGTAATATACGCATAATACAACTAATCTTTATGATTTCTTAACGTGACATAGCTTCTTCTCCCCCTGCAAACAAAAAAAGAAAACAAGGTTATTTAATAAAAGGATCATGCGACAAAATGATCATTGTGATTCAAATTGATGCAAGGATTTTTTTTGAATAAGCAATGCTTTTCACCAGAATCTTCTTTGTAAAAACGATTTTTACAAATCTCAGCCATGCAATTCTGCCACTGTGTTGTAAGATCACTTTCAGATTAGGTATTCTTTAAAGAGTATTTTAAATTGAATGGAACGTCTCGACTCAGTAAGCATGGCTGAGATTTGTAAAAGTTGTTTTTACAAAGAAGATTCTGGTGAATAGCAGTGCTTATTCAAACAAATATACGCATCAATTTGAATCACAATCATTATTTGTCGCTTAATCCCTTTTAGTGACCTTGTTTTCTTTCTCGTTTGCAAGGGGAGAAGAAGATATGTCACGTTAAAGACATCAAAGATCAGTGTTGTATGCGTATATATACACAGGCCCCGCGGAACGTTTATCAAAGTGGGGGGCTAAAGTATTTACGATCAGGCAGAGGGTAGCGAGCGTAATTATTGGTGTGGGGGGTTCAGGGGGCTGTAACCCCGGAAGCTCAGGAGTTTTAGGCATTTAATTACGGTCAGAGAAGCACAAATATTTTGATGCCGCATTTATGTCACTGGCAAGTCAGGGGGGAGGGGGCGTTTTTTGTGGGTTTTTTAAAGGTAAAATTTACGTTACTATCCTATTTTTTTACCGGTTTGGGAAGCTAGGGGAGGGGGGCCAGGCCGGTAGAATCGGCCCGTGGATCCGCGCCTGGGGGGGGGGGGGGGGGGGGGGGGGCGGGAGCGGCCTATATGGGCCACATGCGGTCCGCTAAAAGCGTCAAGTAAAAGACAGACAAAAGCACCTTCTCTGCATCTTACCTGACATTTATTCCATCAGCAAAATTCATAATTTTCTTTTATCAATTCAAAACTGTATAGCGTATTAAAGACATCAACACAATCGCAACTATTTTCGAAAACTCAACTCAAGGGCAAGTTTTAATACCCTTTTGTAAGTCGTAGCCGTGTTCTGGTTACGTAATACCTCATTGCCATGTTTACACGTTGCAATAAGTGGCTATTGAAATTGCTTTTGATTATTTTTTGCTATCGTGTTCATTGGGCATTGATTCCTTACTAAAGACTGAGCGATAAAAACAAACAACCAAACAAACACAACCGCCAACAACAGAATTAGAATGCAAATACTACTAATTTGTTTTAGTGTAAAACTAATGTCCATTTTATTCTGACACATAGAAACATTCCACAAGATTCCACAAAGAGTTCGGCATCACCAGGTCTCGAGTTAGTAAAAGTTTACAATACGTTAATCTTTATTGAATCCAATGGCCGGGGTAATAGTATAAAGCGCTTAGAGATAGTTGTATTAAGCACTATATAAAAGCGAAATATTATTATTTTCATCATTATTGTACTATTGGTGATTAAAATTAGTAATACTAACATGGTATATTTTTACATAGACAGACAATTATTGTATTCATACAAACAAAATGATACAATCGTAGTTATGAGTTGAAAAACATAGTCATGGCATACACAACATACGGAAATGTTGATAAGTAATATTATAAATATAAAATAAGCACACTATGTTATTATGTACAAATATTTTTTTCTGGACCACTGTGTTTTGAAGGTGGGTTCTATAAAGTTTACCCCCCCCTTCCCCCCCCCCCCCCCCCCCCAGCCCGGAAAGAAAAAAATGTTTGGATGGAGAAGTAGTATTGTGGTCAACAAGGCACCTGAAAAAACATGAGAATTTTCTTTTAAACTGTCTTTGTTTTTGTTTTTACATATCGGACATTTTTGGACATGAACCTCCCCACACCCCCTTCCCTTGAGTCCAGGAATCCCCCCCCCCCCCTGGATCTCTCACTGGGAATAAAATTCATATGAAAACTAGTTATGAGAAATAATAAATGTAAATGTATTAACATAGTGCAGTAGATATACTCTATTGTGTTTTATACAAGTACATGTATCATTTTATGGCGCCACAGCATTCAAGACATTTCTTTCTAGCGTGTACCTGGAGGGAGAGCTGAGTTGCACACGTAGTTTAATGTCTTGCCAAATGACATCAATGATGTGGCAGGGATTTGAACCCCGCAACTTGTTACCCACATTCCGGGGACTCATCCACCCGTCCACCTCTACACCTTCACTGTTTAAGTTAATTTAATTCAATTTAATTATTTTATTTTATTATTTAGGTTTTATTTCCACATTAACTGCATATGAAAAGAATTTACAAAGTAAGGCCTATACAAGGTAACAAAACATGTACATAATATTCGATTGATACAACAGTAATAAAAACGATGTAATGGCAAGTCATTAAATACATTATGATGCTAACAATTATCTGCAGTAATGAGGAGGAAACCTTGGAAGCATTATGCTTGTAATTAAGGTTCCCTTTACATAATACATTTGTTACATAATATATAAAACAAAAACAAAACAAAAGAACAAAAACGGGTGTGTGGTGCAGCCAGCCAAAAGTGTTGATAATACCGATGGTCTCTATCATGATGACCTTAAACATTTTCATACTGGAGTAGAAGTTTATGTTTCAAGTGATATTTAAAAGTAATTAAACTTGATTAATCAAGATTTATCCAACATGAGTGGCATTCACTAAATAAAAGTGTGCATCATTTTTAAAGTAAAATATAATATTTATATATGACCAAAATAAATTACAATAATATTTTTTTTTTTTTTTTGTTGAATACCTCAGAACCTTGTTCTTATCAAATCTGACCATTTTCTTTTTCGTCGTATGACATTCTCAAAGGAGTTCTTTCGTTTACCTCCTCGTCTTTGTCCTCATTTCGATTAGTCTCGTGTTTCGGTTTTGTACCTGGAACCAGCGAACACCCGATGGGTATGACTAGTATGAGGGCGCTGACTCCTACGAGTGTTGCACCTAGCACTGTGATCGCTGTTCGTAGGCTCGTTATGGATGATATCGGGGTAACGGCCAGATTAACAGTACCCGCTATGGAGTGAGTGAAGAAGTAGGCGATGGCAAAGACTCCTGTCTTGCAATCGAGCGGAGTTAGATCGGAGAGGATGGATATAAGGACAACCGAGAACCAATAATGGCCGAAGAGATTTATACTGAATAAAATCACTAAAGCTGTGAGAGGAGTTTGGTAAATCAACGTCACTAAAACGAACCCGAAAATCTGGAGATCACAAAAAGCAAACAGATGTACTGATTAATGCTTTGACAATCACTTGGTGTTTTTCTTTCTTTCAATCATGGCGGCGATAGGCCTACTTGAAGCCTAGTTGGTGAATAAATTAAAATGGAAAGCAGTTTGGAAAGACGCGCTTTCATTTAACATATAGCTAATTTTGTTTCCATGTTCTATGGCAACAGTTTACTGATGAAGACCCGATAGAACTAACTAGGTTCCGGTGAAATTGATCACAAAGATCCTAAGTTGAACTTATCTCTATATAAGGTGGACTTAAAAATTATGGAAAGCCGTTAGCATCTTTGAAAATATTTTGTAAAAGTTATTTTAAAAGGCATAAAATGTTAATTCAAATCATTCATATTTTCTATTATCAAGGAGATATCATGTTCTTGATGTGGAATTTATATGAAAAGTCTAAAATACTTGAATTTTTGCTTTTGAATATATTTCATTTTAAAGATAAACTTGAGTTCTGGTAAAAAGAAAAGAAAATGAATTCTCACAGAATCTAACGAAACTTACACTGAATGTTCAAGATTACAAATAAATGTCATGTGCCAAACAATTTTGGAAGAAAATGTATTCTGGCTGAGTAATGAGCAAAGAAAGATAAGGAAATCAAGGTAGTACTATAGCCCCGACACCATTTGTGTTGTCCCATATACATCTTTCTGTGTACAGTGAATGTTACTTTTCCAAGACCGGGCCAAAATTATGATGATTTTGATGACTTCAGAACTTTGCAGTACACACCAATACATGCTATATGATCAACTTTTTCTGATCCATTCCACACCTTTTCTTTCACAATGCAATCGCATTACCAGAACTCACCTTTATCTTTAAGGCTATCAAAATGACTCTCCATAATATTAAAGTCCAACTTAGAGTTAAGTTCGACTTAGGATCTTTGTGAAACACCCCCCAGGTGTCTTGAGAAGGTCAATCCCATGCGTTGCGGTATTCGATTTCGAGAGAATTTTCCATTTTTGAAGATTATAGACATTTTTTTTAGACAAATGTCCGGTAAAGGGGTACTTTTCGTGCGACAAAGTCCGGCCCGAGAATTGTAAAAAAAAGGGGTGTATTTGACTTTTCACCCGGAGATTTCTTTAAAAAGGGGGTGTTTTTTCTTTTTTTCTCTAATCTCTTTGGACTCCTGAAAAATTATTCCGAATTTAGGGGGGTACATTGAGCATTTTTCGTGATTTAGGGGGATCTCCAAGGCAGGAAAAGCCCGTGAAAGGGGGGGGGGTTTGGAAATGTTGGCAGTCCTCAGATAGGGCGTGCTTTCAAAAAGAGGGAACGAGCATATGCGTACCCTAAGAGGGGGGGGGGGGGGGCGGGAGGGGTGTACAGATAGTTTATGCCGTTATAATTACCTGCAGAACAATGCAGAGTCCAATTCTCGCACGTATTCCAGAAATCTTCCTCAGACGATCACCCATCCACCCGCCAAAGACGGAACCAATGAAGCCTGCGACTATTGTAATCAAACCTATCACACTGACATCAAACTCGGGAAAGTACTCCGCCAGATAGATAGTGGTGTTGTAGGATCCGACCAAGATCGCTGAAGCACATGCTGTGTTGCTCAGGATAACGCACATTACACATGCCCATGGTATCTGTCTCAAACTGGAGCGCTGCTGTTTCCATGACGATGCCACGCTGTTTATCTGAAGATGGAGAAGAAAAAAGTGCGATGTCCATGATTCGTGACATTGCCAATAGTATCAGTATTATCAGTTAAGCACGTTTAATTACAAAATGAGCAAAATCACTTGCTTTAGAGAAAAAGATAAGTAAGAAGAAGCCCTCAGATCAGAAGCTACTGAGTGATTTTTTCTTTTTTCCTCCGTCATATAACAAGAATATAAAGTAAAAAGAAAATAACAACAAATAACAAAATTTATCAACACATATATACAGTTTACATAAGCAAGAAAAATCATATGGCACTAAATTGAAATACAACAAGAGAATGTACAGCGAAAAAAACAACACCAGAGAAACGGACGGCTTGGTATCACATTTCGGTGCAGCCAGGCGCGTACGCAGGGGGGGGGGGGGGGGGGGGGGGGGTGGGTTAAACCCCCTCAATTTTTTTTATTTTTGCTTAAAGATACTATGTCCCTTTTGCAGCCAACCTCAAATTCTGTAGAACTTTGCAGGAATTATGAATATGTCATGTACATGTACATGTATATCCTATCTGTGAAATTTAAACGCTAGCAGTGTCCTAATATTCAAATTATGCAAGGAAACCCGTTTACTTGCTAGACTTCACTGTCAGACACTATTGTCAGTATTGAGTGAGTGACTGGCTTTATTCTTCTTTGGTAATAACATACATAAAATGAGCTGTAAAGGATTTGTCTCTTCCCCCTTTTCTCTCTCTTCATCTTTTCCTTCTTTTCTGTTTTTGTTTTTGTTATTCGAAGAGAGACGTGGTCCCTGTGCTTCCTGTTTTTTACACCACATAATGCATAATTATATTGATTTGTTATGGATTAGAAAAAACGGATTTGATCAACACTTATAATTTACTAATGTTAATTGCTAAGGAACTGAAAACTTACTCAGTCATAATTTGTTTATATATGATTTTAGAATAGGAGGGATCTCCCCCAAAGATGGATGATTTTAAGGCACTCATTAAAGACACTATGTCCCTTTTGCAGCCAACCTCAAATTCTGTAGAACTTTGCAGGAATTATGAATATGCCATGTATGTCCTATCTGTGAAATTTAAACGTTAGCAGTGTCCTAATATTCAAATTATGCAAGGAAACCCGTTTACTTGCTAGACTTCACTGTCAGACACTATTGTCAGTATTGAGTGAGTGACTGGCTTTATTCTTCTTTGGTAATAACATACATAAAATGAGCTGTAAAGGATTTGTCTACATCAATAACCTACTTCTTGTAATGGCCAAAATTAAACTGATTGAATCTTTGCGCAGCATAAAACGTACGACCATGCGGTACAATGGTCTGAAAATCAAGACTATTACTTATTGGCTCTATAGCTCCTAAGTCGATTTGGCAACTAATAGTCGTTATTTTCCCACTTAAAGACATTTTCAAGCCCCCTTTATTTAAGGGGATTTCTAAATTAGTAGTATCTTTCAAATGCCATTGGAATTTAACCTTTTCATTTGTTTGGCCTGCAAATGGGACATAGTACCTTTAAGGGGGGGGGGGGTAGTGTGTGTGATTGATTAAAACCCCCCCCCCCCCCCCCCCCCCCCCCCCCCCCCCCCCCAACTGAGCGGATTGTCGGTCGGCGCGATTTTCAAATTTCGTGGGGCAAAAAAGAAAAAAATTGTTCACTACTGATTTTGAAGGTAGCCAGATGTTTTACGATCGCCATGCACAAAAATGCCGTTTTGGGCGATCGACGCGTACTAAACAGGGTCAGATAACAATATAATGGAAATGATTTTAAGCCATCTTGACGAATTTATTCAGCACTTTAATCAACCAACCTTGTCATGGGGGCGCGGTCCTTTTGGATTTGCCATGAAACATGATGCTAAGGCGAGGAACAGACCCGCGGCTCCACAAATTATATAACACCATCTCCAACCGAGGGTATTCGTGACGTTGACAAAAAGAAAGGAGACGCCAAATCCCAACGGGTGTCCGTACTCTGAAATACCAAAGACGATGGTGTGTACTTCCTGTCGGTAAAGGGTGCCAGAAACAAGAATTCAACTTTCAAATCGTCATTATTTTTTAGCGGAGGTGGAACAAAAAACAAAACAAAACAATAATAACAACAACGGCAGCGACGAACACAACAGTAACAACATAAATAGGTCAATGTCCCGTGGTACTGGGACTGCATGATTTACGGTGTAGGCAAATTATGACATATTGCACAGTATGGGAACATTTATACTGTTGACACTTGACAGTATTAATATGGATCCCCTAAAATTCCCCTTACTGTATTTTGGAGTGAAATACACCCCAAGTAGTGGATTCCACTCCAAACGAAGTGATTCCTTATTAAACATGATGACTCCCATCAGTGGATTTCCGTGTACTGTGATGTATGGTGGTCCTGAAGGGACCAGGCACGTAGCCACGAGGGGGCACGGGGGGGGGGGGGCACGTGCCCCCCAAAACAATTCCAAGATCGGTTGAACTTTTTTAGACGCCTTTTTTTTTTACCTCGACCGATTACGTGTATGTGCCCCCCCCCCCCTCCCCCCAAACATCAAACTCTGGCTACGTGCCTGGAAGGGACATCGCGAATAGACGATATCGCGAATTATTCACGACGAAATTGGCGACAAGATTCACGATATCGTCAATTTCGTCGTGAATAATTGGCGATAAAATTCACGACGTCGCCAATTTCGTCGTGAATGATTCGCGATGCCCCTTCAAGGCCACCATAGTAATGATGTTTTTGATGAGTTTAGAATAAATCGGAAGCGAAGTTCAGAAATGGTGTATGTGATATAACAAATAATCTGCACGTACTGTTAAGAAACACTAACAAAGCCCATGAATGTTTTGCTTACGATATTATTTTTCGATACTATCTTAAAAGATAGATAAATATAAAACGAAATCAATATATTTTTATAAAATACAAAATTGAGAGATATAACACGTGCCGTAAAGTATTTTGGCGACAATAGTCAAATTACTGACTAATCGCCAATAAGCCAAAACACAACAACAACCACAGATGACAGACTCACTTACCGTTGGAAAGATATGGGCGAGGTAAGCAATTTTCAGCGATCGGAGAGGGCCGGCGCTGTAAAGAAAATGTACTCTCAAGTCAGAATTGAAAGAAGAAAAAAGTGATGGGACTTCCCCTTTATTTTCCCGTCGTCCCTCTGAGTCTTTATTCAAATTTGAATGATACATGTACATCTTTAGATCAAGGTGATTGTATTGTATTGTATTGTTTTTATTTTCCGTCAATTAAAAATAAATAAAATATATATACATTTACAATCATAAAGACAAACTAATAAAAGGAAGACGGAGGGATGGCCCTACTCAGCGATGTTACCATAAAAACAATGTTTTACAGAGGGGTCCCTATAGACATAAAAGACATGTAAATATATTAAAATATAGTACAGGAATAAGGAAAACTTACAACAACAAAAAAATTACAATAGTGGCAAGAGCAAATTGGAGTTAAACAAGAAAAATGAGAGAAATATCAACAATATATACAAGAGAAAAAGCTAAAAAAGTAAATTAAAAAAAAAGCGCTTATAATAATAGGATAACAGCTACAACAAGTCTGGAATATTACTGTATTGTTTAAATACTTTCTGAATGTGTTAACAGTTTGAAGTAATTTATAATTGATAATGATGCCTTTGGGCTAATTGGCTCATTTCACTTAAACGATCAATAGAAATTCTCTTCTCTTTCGTAACATTATTTGCGGCAAAACGGGATATTAATCGTACATTTGGGGGTTGATGATGATGATGATGATTGTGGAGGCGGTAAGGGTGGTGATGGTAGGGTGGTGGTGGTGGTCAGGTATGATGGTGGTGGTGGTGGTCAGGTATGATGGTGGTGGTGGTGATGATGATGATGATGATGATGAAGATTGTGGAGGCGGTAAGGGTGGTGATGGTAGGGTGGTGGTGGTGGTCAGGTATGATGGTGGTGGTGGTGGTGGTGGTGACGATGATGATGATGATGATGATGATGAATGGGGAGGCGGTAAGGGTGGTGATGGTAGGGTGGTGGTGGTGGTCAGGTATGATGGTGGTGGTGGTGGTGATGATGATGATGATGATGATGATGATGATTGTGGAGGCGGTAAGGGTGGTGATGATAGGGTGGTGGTGGTGGTGGTGATGATGATGATGATGATGATGATTGTGGAGGCGGTAAGGGTGGTGATGGTAGGGTGGTGGTGGTGGTCAGGTATGATGGTGCTGGTGGACGTGATGATGATGATGATGATGATGATGATTGTGGAGGCGGTAAGGGTGGTGATGGTAGGGTGGTGGTGGTGGTCAGGTATGATGGTGGTGGTGGTGGTGATGATGATGTTGATGATGATGATGATGACTGTGGAGGCGGTAAGGGTGGTGATGATAGGGTGGTGGTGGTGGTGGTGATGATGATGATGATGATGATTGTGGAGGCGGTAAGGGTGGTGATGGTAGGGTGGTGGTGGTGGTCAGGTATGATGATGGTGGTGGTGGTGATGATGATGATGATGATGATGATGATGATGATTGTGGAGGCGGTAAGGGTGGTGATGGTAGGGTGGTGGTGATGATGATGATGATGATGATGATTGTGGAGGCGGTAAGGGTGGTGATGGTAGGGTGGTGGTGGTGGTCAGGTATGATTGTGCTGGTGGACGTGATGATGATGATGATGATGATGATGATGATGATGATGATGATGATGATGATGATTGTGGAGGCGGTAAGGGTGGTGATGGTAGGGTGGTGGTGGTGGTCAGGTATGGTGGGGGTGGTGGGTGTGATGGCGGTGGTGATGGAGGCAGTGCTTATTATGGTCGTAGTGATGGTGTTGGTGGAAGTGGTACGGTGGTGGTAAGGATAGTAGTGGGTAATTAATGATGGTGGTGGTGGTGACAGGGATATAGTTGTGAACGTAGTCACGGTTATGGTGGTTGTGGTGGTGGTGGTTATGGTGATGGTGGGGGTAGTGGTGGCGGGAATGACTACATGATGGTGACAGTGGTGTATGCCTGTGTGTGTGTGTGGGAGTGGTAGAGTTGCTGTTGTTGCTGTCATGTTTTTGTTTTTAATTGTTATACATGACTACGGTGAGCGCTATTTTTTATATTGTGTGACCCCTTACAATATAATTACTTTTGTTTAGTTAAATAGGAAATGTAATAAATGACGTAAGGTTATTTTCTTACAATATGCCAAATAGGAACCGGAGCAAGGCGACGGCCCAGTAGTCATTAACAAAGGCTGTAAGCAGAGTACAGAGTGTCCACAACACAGTAAACATTGCAATGGATAACGGTGCCCTTATGGAAAGTCCTTGAACCAAGCCTATAAGTGGCACCGTTGCAATTCCTTCTATGATGAGGTAAATTGGTCCAGCTAATACGTCATATAGAGTGTACCTCGTCCCGTGTACCGTACCCCACATACATCTGGTAAGAAAAACGTGCTGTTTTCAGAACACCTTTTCAGATTAAAAAAATAAAAATAAGAGAACATAAGAAGATGAGAATGATTGAAAATGAGTGATTTGCTATTACTTCATAATGTTTGTTTCCATCGTATACGTTGGCCAAGCCTTAATTTTAAACATTTACCCCAAAACAATTAGGAAAATGTCAGGTATCTCAATTAAAGGGCAATCTAACTTTTGTAACATTTTGTGTTGTACGAAAAGAAAGAAATTCGACAAAACATAATAAGGAGTTATGAATGTTTGAAAGTTGCAATCTCTGAATCTATGTATAAATCACAAGTGAGGAATTTACTTAGACGTATTTGGTAGAACTTTCCAATTTACTGTGCATTAAAATCTCTTCTATTTTCATATGTATATGCTTTCATAAAATTTGTCAAGTCCTTCATATTCTTCCTTTGTAAAGCAAAATATTGATCTACAATGTCACCATGTTTCATATGAAATAAATAGTTACAACACACCTATTCATTGTTATGTTAACTCTGTCATGAGTTGTCTTTTCCCCCATTAAATCAATGGAAGAAGAATTCTTTATTACAATGACAGACGAATAAATAAGTTCCTTTAAATTCGATCCTACCTTCCTGCCTCAGCGCACAATTCCTCTCCGGTCATGTTGAGATCACCAATATAGTCACGTGCTGCTGTTCCGTTGATCACCTGACATTCTGTTTCTCCGAACTTTAATTCTTCAGCCATTCCAAATATTGTTACAACAAGAAGGTACCTGATTATATAAGGGTTCGTGAATTAACATTCCAAATTTAAAAAAATAAAAATAAAAACGGTGCTTATAAAGCGCTTACCACCGAAGTCTCTAAGCGCTATAACAAACAAAATACAATGATAAACACTTACATAAAGATTATCAAACAGAACAAAAAAGTGAAAATAAATCTACAAATTACAATACATATGAAATATACATTAATGTGAACAGAGTAAGTTAATCATCAAAAGCAAATTTGAATAAATGTGTCTTAATGCCCATCTGTATTAGTTCGGCTAGGAGTGATTAGACCAACCAGGAAGGTCACTGACAGGTGGCTATCTCATCAACTCAGCTCTCAATTAACATAAGAAAAGAGGATCTAGGGGGCCAATTGTCACCGATTAGGCATTGTTTTCTATATAGAGGGAGCAAGTAGCTACAAGTAGTACAGTGGGCCTTTAAGACAAGTTTTTACTTGGTTAACAGTTTGACAGTTTTTTAACATTTAAAGGTACTTTCTTCCAAAGTTCAAACACCGTACAGCATCGTTCAATGACAATGATATCGGTCAATAAAAACTGATTGGTATATCCGTGATAGTTTAATTTTAATATCGTTTTATTTAACACTGTGAACATATTTCACCTAGTAACTGTTCATCAAGATGTCGGTGTATAATATTTTGTTCTTCTTCCATTCAGCATGATACATAATATTCAGGATTATGTCAATGATAGGTCTTTATAAATTCTTTCCTTTCGAGTGTTGTTGATATCTGTATAGCAACATGCCAATAGCTATAATAGGTTGGGTATAATTTATACAAGCTCACAAATTGCTAATTGTGTGTCATAAGAAAAAGAGAGAGAGAAAGAGAGAAATTCCTCTTGCCAATGAATTGTGTGGTTCCGCAGTCACACCAAAAGACCGACTCCGAACCCACTTCGAAGCCACTCCGAACCCACTCCGAACCCACTCCGAACCCACTCCGAACCCACTCCGAACCAACCAATTCATAAGCATTCGTGGTAATGTGATTGTTTGTTCGGTCTGTTGTCGGTCTGGCGTCGGTCTCGTCGATATGAATGGGGTATAAGGAAATCAAACTTACTCCTGAGTAGATTGCATCACGGTAATAAGCGTGACGATAATCAACCCAAAAACCCTCCATCCTAGACCCACCAGCGTCTCATCGTCGCGATCGGCGGCCTTCGTTCTGCTGATCGTCAACACTTCGCAATTTTCACCGACATCGTCGCCCTCATCGATCATGATATCATCCATGGCGTGATTGTATGGAAATCGCCGACCAGCTGGTAATGAGAGGATAAAATGATGTTTGAAATAATATTGCCTCATAGAGATACATGTAACGCCTATCTGGCTCTCAACACGTTCACATTTGTGTTCAGCAATGCAAACTGAGGCTCCGAGCAATAAGTATACGACAAAAGCCTTACTAGAAACAATAATCTTTACGGTTCAACAGGAAAAGGCAGGGGCGGCTTTATTATATAAGGTATCAATAATCATCATCTAGTAAACAATGTCTGTCGCTCTATTTCACAACTAGTAGTAATTATATCCTCCATCAAATTTTTTTTGGCTTTTGATTGGTTGAGAGCTCGTCACATAACCAGAAATATTTGAACTATTTTTAGAAAGTATTATATGAGAGTACTATTTCGGAGTACTATTTGGGAGTTGAAAAAAAATGTTTTTTTTTTATTTTTTTTTTATTTTTTTTTTATTGAATTTGTTCCTCTTCTTCAAATCTAAATTTAATGAAAACAAAATATTTTAAATCTTTTTAGATAAAAAATTTACATTTTTTTTGTTCTAAATTTTTTTCTTCCCAAAAATGTTAGTTTTTTTTTTTAATAAAATAATTTTTTGATGCAGGATATAAAACAAATATACCATGCCTTCTATTCGAGGTACTGGTGAAAACTATGGGCCTCTGTTACTCCAAAAGTACCATTTGCTTCGGGGCTGCGCCCCTCAACAAACAGTACTATTGGAGTCACCTCTTGCGCATAATTTTAACCAGAACCTCTCAAGACATTGTATATTTGTATACTATACACATATAGCAGTAGTTATCCTAGATTCAGCCGATTGGTCATGTTGATTGTATACATGTCATCAATATTCTTACCACCCCCCTTCCCCCCCCCCCCTCCCTCTCTCTCTCTCTCTCTCTCTCTGCAGTTTCCAACCATCATAGTTTTTCACCAGCCGGCTCTTCCAAACTTACTGTACAACGAGAGAGTTGTCGCGAAACACAAACTAATCGAACAGCTTTTCAATGCATTGAACTCATACAAAATAATCGTTGTCAAACTACATGGAATGACCAAACTTTTACTGTGACCATACACATATCATTGTCAGTGAAATATACAGCATATTCTACATTTACAAGTTTGCAGACTTACATAATTTCTTACGACGATAAAAACCTCACTAACCTTAATTTCAGCATTTGTTATATCGATCTTGTTCTTTTAAATCAATCAGAACACCAGAGAGTATCACTGGAAGTACATTTATATTGAACATTTATTGGAAGGTACATGTATAAAACGTGGGAAAATGACCACTCAGGCTCTCGCTTCATCGATACAGGACAATGGTAATTTCTCTCCATCGCTCTGTGGCCTTTGCTTTTGTTCTGTCCTTTTAAAGTCTGAAGTGTTGTCTGCTTATTTTCTGTTTCGATCGCTCTGCTTTGTCCTCTCTCCCTCTTTATCACCCTCTCCGTTTAAGTAGGGAGCCATTCCCTTGGAGGAACATAATTATGATGAATTTCGCAAGTTAATCCATTTCCAAGTATATTATCTATTCACAGTGTAATGCACATTATTTAAATATAGATGGAGCCAAAGTCGGAAGTCTCCTCCTGATTACAAAACAACACCCCCTCCCCCTCTCCCACCCCTCTCCCCCCTCCCCCTCTCCCACCCCTTCCCCCCCCCTCTCCGCCCCAAAAAGTAATATTTTGTTAGTGCTTCTCGCTTAAGATTACATGTATTGCACACACTAGGATGTTTGTTTCCTCGATCCATCTATTTTTGTTGTTAAATTTTGAAACAAGAATGCATCTAAGGGTTATTGTAGACCGAAACATTAATCTACTATTTCGTTCGGGGATATATTCCGCGCTGTTTATATCATAATAATAATAATATTGGTTTCTTATATAGCGCACCTATCGACCTTGCAAGGTCCCAAAGGCGCTCCAACATTACCCGGCTATGCTAGGCTGCCGATTTCGACGCTCACAGCATTTTGGTGGTTTATATATAGTTTCATTCAAGGCACACTCTCTTTTCAGTCGTACAATAATGCGTAATAATGTAACTGTGATACATTGTAGACTGCACTGTATAGCTCGTCATGACACAGCCAGAGACGGTCAGAGTTAGGCTACCTCACAAACCTCAGACATTATTACTGTCCTCATTCGTATAATTTTGCGTTAACTGTAATACAATTTATGTAAAAAGTTAACATTAAACTCATTCCTACTTGTATTTGTCACAGTTACTATTTGTTTCTCTAGTCTTTTCTTCCATACATATTCATTTCACATCATTTGCATATTCATTTCATCCATTCATCTCCACTACATACCAACTCTTAAAGCAGGTGGTATGTTCTCTTCTCATTTACATATTTCCACTTCTTATTTATCATTGGTTCTCTTCTCCTTTTCCTTATGAATATTCAGTTTTATTCTTAAATCCTATTTTGCTATTGGTTGATAATATAGTTTTAATTTGAGTATTCTTTGCACAAGGCTGCACATGGACAGCATGCTACATGTACAACAAAACACATGCGGAGCTGGACTGGACTTAATTACACTGTGTGAGATATTAATTTGGAGCTCTGTTACCTTTATAAGTTAGAGACTAAGGAGAGAGGATTTGTGAGTTGGGCAGTGGGCAGTGGTTTGTATGATTGGTGTTTAATGCAGTGATTGATTGGCAAGAGATTAATTATTAGTTTACACTACGTTATGAGACTACATATTCTACTACACCCTTGGGCTCTGTTCATGACAGTCACAGCCAGAGACTGAAAGAGTTAGGCTCAGCTCAAAACTCAACTGTATTGTTATTAGAGTGTCAAATTAGAGTCTGCGCCTGCAAACTAACAGTGGCTAGACTATAATACCTTGGTCAGACCGCCAAATCGACCATATAACCGACTCCACACGTACGGATCCCTTTAAAGCTTATCTGCCATAGTTTACAGGAGGGATTAGACCGCCCTACAAGGTCACTGGACAGGTGGTTATCTCATCAACTCAGCTCTCAGTTAACATAAGAAAAAGAGGATCATGGGGGACCAATGGTCACCGATTAGGCATTGTTTGTTATATAGAGGGCGCAAGTAGCTACAAGTAGTGCAGTGGGCCTTTAATGCTCGGTCTGGTGTCGGTCTGGTCCGTTGGTATGACTGCGGTTTCGGAGAGCTTATGAGTATAAATTTCTATGATATAAGAAAAAGAGAAAGGGAATTGAGGAAATAGGAGACAAAAGGAGGATAGAAAGAAGGATAAAGGTAAAAATGAAAATCAATAAAGGTGAATGGAAGGTGAACACCGAAAGGGTAAAGGAGTCCTTTTGTTGACTATCATAGCTTGCAGGCGCGCGGTTCGATAGAAAAATACATTCGGGTGAGCTTGGTGGTGGTGGGGGGGGGGGGGGGGTAATTATTAAGGTTAATTTTAACAAGTATCATGCTAGAAGAGGGTGCATATATTTATAAAAAAAGATTTGAATTGACAAAGAGTTCATGACCCTATATCTGTTGTGAAAATTTATTGAAAATTTATTTATTTTTACCCTTGAAATTAATGAACGGTTATAACATATTTGTGATTCATCACATATTATTCTTTCATTTCCATCATAGATGTTTAAAGATGTTTTCGGTAAATTGTGGAATAGTTTTGGGTCCGAAATAAAGAATCAACCTTCCTTATCTAGTTTTTTTTTAAATATAGAAATCCAATCTTATTAAATCATACACCCTCTGAGTCTGTAAAGCGGTACGTTTGCCTTGTTTTTTCTCTTTCTTCCTGTTGTACCACTTATTAAGTGGCACTTAATGTATATTTAATTACTCATATAGTTTAGGGACAAGCCTTTGATAGGCCTTTGGCCTTTGTTTGTCCCCTCACATTTTGATATTTTTGTTCTTTTCTGTTATTTGATGGAATTGCCCTTATGGAACAATCACTGTGTACCACATAGCCAAACACAGTGTGGTACCACAGTGTGCTAACACATGTGGACCACATGTGATTTTAGGACGTGTGGTAACGCTGTGGTGTACTATGTGGAACGTACCACAATGTGGTAGACTATGTGGTTGATACCACATTGTGTTATGGCACAGCGTTACCACATAAAACTGTGGTATGCACGAAATAGAACCCACAGCGTTAACACACGTCCCAAAATCACATGTTGCCCGCATGTGGTAGCACGCTCTGGGACCAACCACATAATCACCACATAGTCTACCACATAGTCTAACACACTGTGGCACATACCACATTGTCTGGTACACTGTGGCACATACCGCATTGTCTGGTACACTGTGGCATCCACCTCATAGTATACCACACCCTCCAGATGAAACAATTAATTAGTAACTAACGCTTTAAGAAGCAATTATACTAATTAATCTTGCCTAGGGCAACAAGTAACACAGTCTGGTTTACCCGGTTCATCTGTAATTTCTAATGTAATGGCATTGGTTATATGTTTCGTGTCACATGATTTCCATATAATTTTATTTTATTGAATATATTTTAGTTCATAGTTAGATTTCCCTAACTCATGTTTAATTAAATGTAATTTTTAAAAAAGTAGTGAAACGTCCTAATAATTGACAGTTTTTAGTTTGTAGTATTTTCGAAATAAATATATAACTCAATCATCAGTAATTAAGAAATATGCTTTTAAATTCAGATTAATTGTATAAAAACATAGATCTGCACGCACCCCATATTAATTATGCAAATTAAGTGGTGTCAATTGATTAAACTAAACCCCCTACGGACCAGTTTTCAACTGGTTCAACTGGAAATAAGCCCACAGACCAGTTATCAACTGGTGCAACTGGAAATATGCCCACAGACCAATTATCAACTGGTGCAACTAGAAATAAGCCCACAGACCAGTTTTCGACTGGTGCAACTGGAAATATGCCCACAGACCAGTTTTCAACTGGTGCAACTGGAAATATGCAACTAGACCAGTTTTCAACTGGTGTAACTGGTCATGGAGGACTGGTTCCCGTTAAATGAAATGCAGTCGACCAAATATCCGCTTGATATGCATTATATGGACCAGTTAGAATCAACTGGAACCAGTTGCCGTCAACTGGGAACCATTTTAATTTATAACTGGAACCAGTTGGAAATTTGAACTGGTGGTAACTGGTTTTTCCTTCTGGGCTGCCGCCATACGGCGACATGTACAGGTATAGACTATATGAGACTCTGTGGTAAGTGTGTGATTAAGTAATTTAGGAAGATCGCTCTGTAGAAATTACCCTGTGAATAAACAATTTTCACATATTTTAAAATGCTGGGAGAAACCAAACTATGACAAAAATATGAACAGTATTTACTCTTATGACACACTTTTGTAAACATGTGGCACTGTGTGATAAGTATATACAAATATGTGAATATTACGTTATGGTTAAACCACATGATCTAAAAATCTCACACTGACAGTAAACTGTGAACACAGAGTTTACACATAGTGATACATACCATAATTGTGGTAAATATGTGTCACACTGTGTTAAATATGTACGACTATGTGGTAAACCACATGATCTAAACCCCACACTGTGACAATACTGGGATCGCAGAGTTTACACATAGTTCGATACATACCACACTGTGGACAATATGTGTCACTCTGTGTTAAATACCATGTGAGTCATAAACAAGTTTACACCTAGAAAATGGACTTGCGCCAAAGTGACGCCTACAGCACGGTATTATGTTGGGATTAGCGGAGTGAGAGAATGAATTGAATGTATCAAATGAAATGCATTGCATATGCTTTTTGCAGAAACAAAGTCACACACTCACACACACACACGCGCGCCCAAATGTTCGTCGATATTTGATATTCGATATTAATATGTGGGGCATGATTTTGGTAGAAATGTTATGTGGATCTGCAAAAACCGATTTAATACCCAAAACACAATATTTTTATTTAAACTTCACATAAGCCATTTTGGCGCAAGTCGATTTTTGCACTCTCGCAAACAATGCCTCCTGTTCATCCAGGCGTGAACACATACCACACAAAAATGATACCAAATGATTTGGGATAAAACACTCCTTTATAAGATATATAATAATTAACTGTTCATAGATGATTTTTTAAATAATTAGCAATTTTCTAGGTGTAAACCTTTTTTTTTGGACTCCTACTGTATGTAAGACTGTGTGATAAATCACACGATCTGAACCCCACACTGTGACAATACTGTGAACACAGAGTTTACACATACTTCAGTACATATCACACTGTGGTTAACATGTGTTACTCTGTGTTAAATATGTAGGACTATGTG